TTTTCCTGGTAATATCATATTTTTTGTTTATCATTATTATCATTACGCCGAAACATCATTACTGTTTATCAAATTTTTCATATCAACACCAAAATTTAATCTTTTTCTTTCATCTTCGTCAATTTTCATCATGTCTCTTTATTTCGTACAATCCACTGTTTTCACCCGTAGCTTTCACAAAAAAAAATTCATTATCAATCGTTCTCTAATTTAGAAAACGTTATCATGTATAGGGGTGACTATTGTGTATGGATTATTTACTGTATCTTCATTGTATTTGAATTAATATTTGAAGCTATATTTATTATATACCCATGGCGTAACGTGATTTTTCTTCTTCTTTTTTTCTTTTTTAGTTTAGTTTATATGGGATTCTATAGCTGCTTTAAAAATACGAATGGTTTTGTGACTCAGTTTTTCTCCTGAAAGTGTGTGCGTTCGTATGAGCATGATATGATCACTGTTACTACTCTTACATTACATGAAAAGTATAACATTAGCAAGAACAGCAAAGGCCTTCTAGACATAATAGTGAAAATTAAAGCTACTGTATACCGAACGCCATGGCTCTGTGCCTCTTCCCTTCTAGGAATTTCCTTATCTGGCAACTCTGAGACGAATAAACATTGAAATCTCTTTAAAGGATTTCCTGTGACGTCATATACATTACCATAGTCCGTTGTCCCATCCCTGTTGTGAAGTAGTGTTGTTAGATTATTACGACTTATGAAAAGATTTTTCTCTCTCTCTCTTTTTTATTGTTATCAACAGCGCTACTTATCACATTATCAGGGTTATTACGTAAATTATCTCCGAGTTCCCTCTCTTCTTATACAGTGCATTATGGTTTATAGCACTCGTTTTCCCGTTCTTAATGGGTGAGCTTTGTCCCCCTCCTCCTCCTCCTCCTCCTCTCTCTCTCTCTCTCTATCTATCTATCTATCTATATATATATATATATATATATATATATATATATATCTTTCTATCTCCCTATCTCATGTCGAGTACCTTACCCAGAAGGCTGTTTGTATCGTCGAATTGATTACACTATCATGAAATTATCACCATGAACTTGATTCCTTTATCGTAGGAGTTTAGTTCAATTACGTTGAGTTACGTTGTTAACATTTTCGACACTTTTTTATATAAGTAATCCAGAGCAAATTTCAGGTTTACTCCACAATGCGATTTTTCATGAGAAAAGTTGCCTATTTTTCGCCTGACCTAACGTATACAAACGGAATATGATCGATTAATTGATACAGCATATACTTGGTAATCAGCTAACCCAGTGTAAACAAACTGATTATACCATCAACTGATTTCTAATAGATTGTGCATAAGCAATCAGCTAATGTAATATAAACAAAATGGGCATGATCAATCTGCTCATTCAGTGAAAACAAACATTGATTTTAGTAGACTTGTTGGGCCTGTACTTTTAGAAATTCCTTGAGTTAAAATCTCTACAAATGTACGAGTAATCCCAAAACAAGACGAACTGACACATAAGTATGTAACTAGGTTACTTGCCCTTAGTATCGCAATGATATAGTTTAATAGATGTAACTTATATGGTCAAGGCTTTGATTCGGCCTTGCATATATCGATTGGCATAGGATTATATATATATATATATATATATATATATATATATATATATATATATATATATATATATATATATATATATAACATCAGACATATAAAACTTGAAATTGATGCTATGTTATGGTGCATTTTCTTAGAAAATTGTCTATTGCCTTTTGCTATGTGTAAAGATTTTAACTGCTAGGATAATATTATGTAGTAGTATTTTAACTCTTTTTAATTATTACTGCTACTGATGTTCTTACTGCTATTATATTTATTATCAATAATACCATTATTTTATTATCGGATGTAGTTTTTCCTTATCATAATGACATCAGAATTAATATTAATATTTTCACCGTCGTATTAAAAGGTACCAATACCATTATTATCAACCTAACCATCATTATCATCACCGCGTTATCACCTTTATTGGCGTTATTACCAATTATAGTATTAATTTAGAAATATTTTTAAAAAATTGAATAATTTAAGAAATATATATATTTTTTATTTGTGGTCTCATTATCGTTATTATTAATGTGTTTTTATTATTAGAGGTGGCAGTATTGTAGTTGTTATTATGAATATGATGGCCATAATTTTCAATATCACCATTATTGTTATCATCATCATCATGATCATCACCATCACCATCATCATGATCATCATCACCATCATCATCATCATTACCATAATTAGCCTTATATATAATACGATATTCCAGGCACTTGGCAATCACTTTGTTTATCTCTATGCGATTTTTCTTTCTGAGATTTCTCTATATTTATTTTGGATCAAATAACCCCTCCCCCCCTCTCCTATCTGTGTCAATCAGGTGATTCATTAATCTTTATTACATAAGATATCCAGCCTTATTATCAAAAGTCTTTCGTTGTTTGCTTCATTTGGTCATAACATTACCACTTCCTGTCATTTGCTTGTTTGCTTGTTTGTTTGTTTTTAGGTTAGTTCGTATCCTTTTTACCTAGTTTGGAATAATTACTTGATATTGTGAAAGGAAGTTTGTGTAAGAGTGAAAATACGATTTTTTTTTTCTTTAAATGTGTTAGTCCATATAAGTTATGTATTATCAGTAGTTACAACTACGGTATGCATTATAACACTACGTTGTCATTATACTTTTTTTCCAATCAATTGTTTAATATTAGTCTAGTGAAATAGGCTATTTCGTTTCTATTTCTGTGCATGAGCAAATCCCACTTGACAAATATGTCATGCAATCTCCATGCATGACGGGATATTTATTCTCTTTGAGGAATTTTTCAGGACTTATGGTTCGACATGTTTTTTTTTTTTTCCTAGAAATGCCTTCGTAGTAAAATATCAATATATTTTTAGGGATTACTATGAAACTCAGGTATGGACTTCGGGAATTGCTCCACTCGTTCCGGAAATGAATATGTAATTGATATTTCTTATTGGTGTATGTTTGTTTTTTATCATTTTCTCTTTCAGTTAGAAGCAACAGAAGTAAAAATATATATAGTAGTATCTTTACTTTTTAAAGATAATGATTAGTATGAGCATCTTCATTGTCATTCGTCATTATTACTATAATGATTTTGTTATTACGAGATTCATTATTATTATCATTGTTGTTGTCATTGATAGCATATGATATCATTATTACTATTATGCTTATCATCATCACTATAGAAATCGTTAAACCTTATCATTTTATCATTATTGGTGTTACTCTATGGTACTATTAACATCACTATTACCGTTTAGATATAATATGTATAACGCGTTCTTGACCCTTTCCTTTCTTTCTTCACTATCCTCGTAAATTTTGCGTAACTACATCATATCGACACAAGTTTTCCTAATCATTAAACAGGATGTAATGTTGATATATTTAACATATTGAAGACGCAATTTGTCGGATTTGAGTAAACATGACATTCTTTTGTGTACTTGTAAGAATGTGTACTTTTTTGTTTAGCGAGTTAATGCACGTACACACACACAAGGCAAGAGTGTGGAATGTGTGTGTTGCAAGCGCTTGTGTGCATTTGCCCGTTGTTTATTCCTGTCCACACAACACGCAAGTTTATGTTTTATGTGGCTCTCTAATTTCTTTGTGTAAGTGATGAGTGTATCTGTTTATTTATCAGTGAATCACTTGGTTTGTTTTAATTCGGTTTTATATTTTTATTTCCCGGTCAGTGCAGCTGTTATCATTTTTTGCTGTGTGTTTGTTTTTTGCGTGGGTGTTTGTATTTGTTTGTTTGTTTGATTCTTGAGAAAAAAAAGTTAGGGATGGGGTTTGGCGTAGAGGAAGGGAGGGAAGAAGTGGGGAATGAGAGGGGGGGGCAAGAGAGGAGACGTGGGGGGGGGGGGGGTAACTAAAGGGCATGGGAAGGGGGAGGGGGAAAGGAGAGGAAGGCAAGTGAGGTAGCTGGAGAAGTAGGAGGGGGGGGGGGGTGAAGGGGAGTAGTGGGGAAGTGGAGACGGAGGCAAGGGAGAAAACTGGGGTAAGGGGGGAGGAGATGGAGGGGGAGGGATAGGGGAGGGGAGAGGAGATGGAGGGGGAGGGATAGGGGAGAGGAGAGGAGATGGAGGGGGAGGGATAGGGGAGGGGAGAACACCTGCCAGAGAGGGGGGGGGGGCAGGGTAGGTTGAGGAGGGGCGAAGGGGAGGAGGCGAAAGAGACGAATAGCTGGAGGAAGAGAAAGGGCAAAGAGAGGGTAAAGAATCGGGGAAAGAATAAATGCATAAAGGGAAGGGAGAGATGAGTGGGGGGGGGGTGAAGATATGGGGAAAGGAAAAAGTAAAAAGGGAGTAGGAGCGCGGGCGGATGGGGAAGGGAAGAGAGAATTTGCGGAAACGAGAGGAGGAAGAGGAAGAGAGTGAATAAGGGAGAGGTGAGAC